AGGGTTGAAGGTGGAGATCCGAGCAGCAATGAAGGTGTTGATGCCCCGTGACTTGGGGGAGGCCATGAAGTTGGCATAATTGGTGGAAAATCAGAAGAATCTGGAGAAGGGAGCCAGGAGCAGCAACTCGGGAGGCTCTTACAAGACTACGACCACTCTTCTAGCACCCAAGGGGCCTGCCTCAGGCAACATTAGTGAGACCACCAGGGAGAAGCTAGTAGGAGGGAGTGAGGAAAATTTCAAGAGGCTGACAGAGGAGGAGATACAGGAGAGGAGGGCAAAGGGGTTGCGTTTCAGGTGCAAGGAGAAGTATACGCCAGGGCATCAGTGCAAGGACCGAACTCTTCTGGTTCTCACCATCTGCGATGACGAGGAAACTGAGGAGGAAGGTGAGGAGGAGATGGAGGAGAAGCTACACTTGGATTTGGTTGAGGTTTCCTTGAACTCAGCGGTAGGATTCACCACGAATCATACCATGAAGGTGAAGGGGGAGATAGAGGGCAGGGAGGTGGTGGTGCTAATTGATAGTGGGGCTACCCACAATTTCATTTCCACTCAGGTCGTTGACCAATTGGGAGTGAAGTTGGAGGACATCGGTTGTTATGGAGTGATGATGGATACAGGGAAGGTAGAGAAAGGCTAGGGAATCTATAGAGGAGTGGTGTTGACCATCCAGGGGATTCAAGTAAGGGAGGACTTTCTCCCACTAGAGTTAGGAAGCACTGATGTCATCCTGGGGGTGAAGTGGTTGCAAACCTTGCGGGAAATCAAGGACAATTGAGGAGCACTCACGATGGAATTAATGGTGGATGGGAGAAAGGTGATTATAAGGGGAGATGCAGGGCTATCCAAAGCCATGACATCACTTAAGACCATGGTTATGGACATACAAGAAGTGGGGGAAGATTATCTGGTGGAACTACACAAGCTGGATATGATCAGGAAGGAGGGTGGAGAGATTTCTCTTTCAGTGCAACCCTTAATTCAGCAATTCGGTAAGGTTTTTCAACCACCTCAAGGATGCCCACCTCCACGGGAACACGAGCATATTTCCACCTTGAGGATAAGGTGGATCTTTAGGAGGGGAGTATTATTAGACTGGTCCAGTGGACCGGTCTAGGCGGGACCGGCCCAGACGCGAACAGAGCAACTGTTTCCGCTTGCTGGGATGCCGCGCGAGCCGCACGTCGTGCGGGAGCCAAATAGGAAAGAAATTTTGCGGAATTAAGAGGTAAATTTGAATGTAGGGATTGTGTAGGGAATTCCTTTTGATTTGTATGCATTAAATAGTTTTTTTCCTAGGGTTAGGGCATCTTGAATTTGGCTGAAATTTGAAATCTCTTAGATTTAGGTTTTCTTTAGGCTCTAGTGGC